ATATCTAATATAATTAAATAAATTGACAGGAAGAACCGTGGTTTTGGGTTGGGGACCTATTCAGATCCCAACAATGGGTATTATTTTAAAAATCGGCACGATATCCTAAATAAGAAAAATAGTGATAATCGATAAACAAAAAAAAAAAAAAAACAGAGAAATCGGGAAAATCGAAAAAATCGTGAGTGGTACTACGTCGGAAGGTAGTACATCCGGAGGGTCAATTTAGCCCTTTACACCGCTCTATGTTAGAAAACATAAAATTTTTGAATAGAGCTTAAGACAAGAGTTACAACAAAACAGTAAATTTGTAAGAGGAAAGCCTTTAATTAGAACGCGAAAGGTAGTTAATTATACAAAATTTTGAGTTATACAAGATTTTTTCAAAATGAAAATTTTTTACCTGATCTTGATTTTTTATTGTCAGAAGTTGCGTGACTGAAAAATCAATCATACACTTGGTGATATTTTATCTCAAAAACGGCAAAAAATTTAATTCTTTTTATGATTTAACCTAATGGTATTCTACCAATGATAATATCTAGTACTTTCACATCACTAGCTAGAAAATATTTTTTATGTTCTAAAATAAAAAAATTCTTTATAATATTTTTAGAATAAAACTTAGCTTTAAACGGTCTAATTCTTACATACACAAGTTTATTTCGTACACATAGTTATGATATAAATATATCTTAAAGTTCATTCTGCATCGTCTTTTTTGGAAACCCAATATTTGACTCCAGTTGCCTGCTGCGGAATTTTCAATAAATTCTTGGGGTTCTGAATTACTACCAGATAATTAATTTTCATCATATACAAATTCCTTAACAAATAATTCAGCAACACTCACATCAGGCGATGAATAAATACCACGTCCATAAGCAAAAATCATTCCTCTACTCAACAAGTATCCTTCTTTCAGCAATTGGTTTCGAGTTAATTTTATCATTTCCATTATAAGATACAGGTGTGTCAATATCAAGCCATCCATCATCACCATTATCATAATTTCTAATAACTTTTAAAGCAAAATGTTGGCATCTACATGATCTTTTATATGAAGCACCTCCGCGGGTGTATGTCACTTCTTTATTATCAATATTTGTAAAGCCGTAATCGAAACTTGAATCTAAGAAATCTTTGCTCAAATAACTTATTACAACTCCACTGTCTTTAATATTTAAAACTAAATGTAATGTATATCTTTTGGTAATACAGTAATCAGAAAGCGTTCTCTCACACTCTAATTGCACACCAGCAAAAATAATTCTCTGTTGAATGAGCAGGATACCTTCTTTATCCTGAATTTGTTTTTTTACTTAATAAATAGTATCATAATAATTGCATTCAAGTGCAATACTTTCACCAGATACAAAAATTTGTATAATGGAATGCCTACTTAGCATTATTCGCTTAAGAGATTTCGATGCCGAAGATAGTTCTTCTTCTTCATCAATTTTGTTAACATTACCACCAACTAGTGTACACATATGATATGCATACATATCAACTGGTAAAAAAGCGATGTCCAGTTGAATAAGTAAGTTTTTCCTTTCATTATATTCTTCTTCTTTTATGAAAAGGAATCCTGGCATAATTGCTGAAAACGCTGCATTGAGAAGGTCGATACGATTATTTGGCATAGTTAACGAATTTTTGCAAGTGAATATTTGATTGAGATTCTTTTTATAGTATAATATTTGGAACTCCTACAGCAAATGGCGGATTGGACAAAAAAATCTTTACCTTAATAATTAAAGAATTATATAAAGTTAAAAGATTAAAGTTTTTGTCTCATTCCTCTTTTGTTGTAGGAACTCCATTTAAAGATGTGCGGACTTTTAAGCTATATAATTAGCAAAAGACCTAAAAAAAAAACTATTATTTAATTAAATAATAAATTGGTGGAAATATATTATTAAAATATGCGGGCGTTAAAAATTATATTAATAGTTTATTTAATTAAATTATATACCTCATTCCACTTTTAACGAGAAGTTTTAGGCTCACACTACATGAAATAAAAAACTTTGTGAATTCAATATCTTGATTTCGCAGGCCTATCTGGTTTAAAGTCTGAAAATCCATGTTAAAATGTTGTAACTTGATTTTTATAAGTTGTCTACTAACAGTGATATTAAATATAATTTCAACTCTTGATCGAGTTTACAACCTAAATTAAGACTTACTGAACTTAAATAAAGCGGTAGATTCGAGAATTCATATTTTATCTGTTTAGAACTACATAAACTAAAAGTTTATTAATCTAAAAGGTTTATAATTTTAAAGGTGATTTCTACGCGTTAGATAACAATATATATAATGTTCGAATATGTATATGATGGATTTCTGAAATAATATGACATATATCATTTTAATTGTATTATGGTATATTCTTTCTCTTCTGTTTCTTCTGTTCAGATTTTTATAAACTTTCTTTCCATTAAGTAATTTAAATTGTTAATAGGAGATAGACATTTTTATTGCCTTATTTTTGAATCAGATTTCTAAATCATGTTTTTGAGAATTAATTTAAAGGTTTAGGGTTAACAACATTATTTTTTTAAAAAAGATAATACAGTATCAGGTATTAAAAAATAATCGAATATTCTAAAGTGCTAGTGTTACTAACCTAAAAAAAAAAAAAAAATTCACTGTTAAGTTAAGGTGTTAGTCGTTGTTTTAAGGCTTGAAAAGTGTAGTAATATCAAAATTAATGCGCAGAAGGCAGTTTCAAATTCAGAATCTTAGGTTTTTTTTTTTCGTATTATACCTGATCTTGAAAATTAACTGAATAGGGTGCTTCAAAATTAACATATTTCAAAAATAAGTGGGAGTTTAAAAAATCTTATTGTATTTTTAAATTTCAAAATCAGAAAATGAAATAAAAGCGTCGGGATTATAAATCAGTTACAAATAAACATTTACTTTAAAATATACTTTGCAAATCACTTATTTTTAAATTAATACGTCACTTATTTCATCCGAAATCAGACACCAAATCACTAATTTTGAAACCCCAATAACGAAATTTTAGAATAATTTAAAATTTACAGCCAAAAAATCCAACATTTCTATACTTTTATCAAATTCAAATAATGTCAGAGGCAAAATCGGTAAATTAAGGAAAGAAGGAACCCGTGCCTCAAAGCAACTCACGAAGCTTAGGAATCGATCAAAGGACCCACTTGCAAAATGGACCCAAATCGCATGTGAAGATCCCGCAGGACCACTGATCTTAAAACTTACAATGGGTTAAATTAACCATATCGGGATAAGTTCGTGGCCTAGTCTTAACGCTATGACAGGTTTTAAAGGTATTAATTTGAAATAACGAGTGAAACCTTCGTTAAAATTATTTTTCTTTTCTGTGTGCCCAAAAAAATGTATAAAATGAATATAAGTTTTGAGAAAAGATAATTAGACAATATAGGAGTTCAGAATAAAATAAATAAAAGAAACACTTACCTTTGCCTAACGTTTCGCTACCGCTTTAACAGTGCCAAATCGAATCCCGCCTCTCTTTAAGTAGTGTCACGGTACGCTGCGTCTTGAATTCTAAAACGACGCTGTCGCGCTATTTCTCTTTGAGCGGATATCAAACAAATACAATTTAATAGAAATTTCTCTGAAATCAAGAATTATTGGTCATAAATCTTCGTTTCAAAAAACTTCGACTATGTTTTCGTGATCTTAAGAAAGTTTCAGGATCTTATATTTAAACTATTGGAATTATGTGTGTTATTATAATCTTACGACAATTTATTTCTAAGGAATCAAATTTCTGATAGGTTTTGCTTCGCACATATAGACTGATTTATAGAATTGCATTAAAATATTTGTAATAACTAACTTTAGATATACTAGTTTATTTTTTGTGTTGTTGAAAAAAAAAAAAATTATTTTTAGTGAAAACAAATTTATTTCAGTAGATACATCGGATTTTCACTAGATTTCATCAGATAGTTTATGACTGTATATAATAGATATCCTGGATCCAAGCACTAGTTGACTAACAAATCAGCCTAAATTATATTCTAACCCTAACTTAGGTCAAGTATCATGTGAAATCAATGCCAAAATACATATATGGTGTACTAGTAAATCAAAATCGATCAAATCCCAATGATTTACTAAAAATTATGTAGCAGACTTATTGAATATTGGATTTCTTAGATATCAGATCATATGGAATTTGCATCAAAAGAATAAATTAGTGAAATTTGTTATCGCAGTTATGTGTACGAAATAAATATTATAAAGAATTTATTTGTTAGCACCTAAAAAAAAAATTGTTTCTGTAATTGTACTACTGTATATTTGTTCATCCAAATTTCAAGATCGCGTGTAGCGTAACAAATCATCTGTTGCGGCCCAATTAAATTGTTCTTTGTGAAGTTTTAATAATAGACATTATAACAATAATTCTAATTATTACTCGATTTTTTAATTTTAATTTTATTCACAACTTAGAGAATTAACAGTGTGAGCAGGGAAAAGACTGCGACTCGGTCGCTAAACAATACCAAAAACTCGCGTAAACAAAGGTAAGTAACCTTTCGAAAGAGGTGTGTTAGATTAGGCTGAGGAATGTTAAGGCTTCGGTTACTTGGGTCAGCAAAGTTGGTGACAAGCGTCCGGAGGGTTTAAATCACGTGTACAAGAGATACAACGAACAACGATTTATAATTTAAGTTTGGGGAGTGTATTAGCGAAGCAATGTTATTGGGTCACGTTGATAAGAGGTTAAATGAACGATTTGTTATAAGTTGAATTTATTGAAGAACTTAGGGTAGTGGTGTTATTGTATCGATTTATTTAATAAAATTGTGATTTTATTATTTTTTTATGAAGCAAAAGCGAGACTTAGTTCTCTCAAGGGCCATTCCAGCCTTTATTTATAATATATTTTTCTTAGAGATACATATTACATTTATTAAACATATCCCCTATATCCCATATATTTCGCATAGGTCGCATTCGTTATATGTGTCGCGCGACATATGTAACGAATGCGACGTATGCTACTTGTCCCGCCAGTTTGTTTTCCGGAAGGAACGTGACCAGTTAATCACGTTACTTGTCACGATTTTCCTTCCTTAATCCCTTCTTCACAGTACGTATTTCTTTGTCTTACCTGTTATGTAATTATTATTATTATTATTATCTTAATAGCACCTTTATTAAAATCATTCATTAACAGGGTTATTACATCGTTAGAACTAGGGATGGCAACGGTCGGTCATTTTCGGCTTAGCCGACCGGCTAAGCCGCGGCTATCTCATAATCCAATTTGGAGTACTGGATCGCAAGATACAGCTAACGTCTACAAAAACGGCTAACCGACCGTGATCATCCCTAGTTAGAACTGTCAACACTCAATAGATAACTTTTAATTAATTAATTTTGTATAATTATTTAATTGATACAGTATATTCTTATTTCTCTTATTTCAACAAAAAAAAAAAAATTATCGGAAATTACATAAACCATCTTTATGATACAAAGGATAAAGGATGATTTCTTAATATATAAGATACCACTAAGCGTTAAATGTTACAAATAAAAATTCGAAATTAAAGTTACATAACAACTAAGTTTACGTACGTACGTACGTATAAAAAAGGAAACTACTTATTAATAATAAGTATTAACCTAATCATTAATTGAAAACCTTGTATGACGTACGTACGTATGTAAATAGTGTTAACTGTTAAACAGAAACATATGAGACAGTTTAATTAATGCCAATGTTACAGTATTCTTATATTTATAATATATAAAAAAGCAAGGAAAAAAGACAATCCAACGTATTTTGCAGAATTCGATTAAAACATAAGAATATTAGGATATGTTTGATCGGTCACACAGTAAATTCTGCAATAGTTTTTGATGGCTGTGTCCAAAGTAGATCACAATCCTAACACTAAACGAGCTCTACGAATCTGTACATCCATCTAGGCTTAGTCTCGAGCTGTTGATCACAGCAGTTCTGTTTAACAATTAACTTTAAGCTTTAACGATCATGTCGATTAATAAGCAATCGGATATTTTGTTTTTAATCCAAGTGGCTTTTAACAACTATCATTGTATTATTAATCAAATAAGATCATATTATTTATCGATTGATTATTATGCAATCAAAAGATATTTGGGTTTGAGGGTTTTGTATAATTGACCCCCGATCACTATACAAAGATCAATGGGGGATTAGTCAATAATTGTATGTATACAAGAGGAAACGAAGAGATATTATTAATAATCATCATCAGAATCATCAGTATTTAAGTATTTTGAATAAGTTATTTATAAATCCTATTTTATTTTCAAGTATATACTTATTTATATCATCGAAAGAAAACAAACAAAAATTCATGATACAAAATAAAATATCTCTGATTTATTTTTCTTGAGTTTTATTGATATATTAAGCAAATTGGCAGAATTGGACCCTTATTTACAAATACCCCAAATTTGATTATAGATTATTTTTAATTTCATACATATATTGGTCCAATTCCGACGATCTGCCAAGGTGTAAACAAACCGTTAGTCGGGTCTTGGCTTATGAATTAATAAAAATAACAGTGACCTGAAAACTTTATTATTAATTTTTTTTTTTTTTATCAATTCTTTACCTCGTCTTTTACAAAAAAAAAAAAAAAAAAAAATTTTAAAATGAAATTATTGTATATATTCACTTTTCTTTTCACTATAATAATAACTTTCGTTTTAGTAAATTCACAAAGTCAAGTTTGTAATGGTTATGCAGAATTTTGTAACAGAAGTTATGCCAATATGTCATTCGTAGCAACTCATAATTCTTATGCTTACGGAAACCAAGTTGCAGCAACGCAAAATTATAATATCGAAATTCAATTAAAAGATGGAGTTCGTGTTTTCCTTCTTGCTGCTCTTAAAAATCCAGATCCAACAAGAACAGATATAGTACTTTGTCATACTTCTTGCGAATTATTAAATGCAGGAACTGTAACAAATACATTAAAATATTTTACAGTATTCTTACAAAATAATCCAAATGATATTATTACAATCTTTTGGAGAAATGATTTTAGTAACCTTACATCCGCTAATTTTAAAACTGCTTTTGATGAAGCTAATTTAACTTCATATTGTTATACTCAACCACTTGGTGCTGATTGGCCTACAATGGCATCTATTATTAAATCAGGAAAACGTGTTATTAACTTTCTTGATTCTGGGGCTGATGGTTCTGTGCCATGGTATGAATATATTTATATTTATGCGTATATGTGTTTTTTTTTTTTTTTTTTAATAATGAATGTTAATATTACGTATTAAATTTTTAATAATAATTAATTTAATCATTTTAAATTTTTAAATATTAATAATTTTAAAATTTTTAATAATTATTAATTTTTAAAATTTTACGTAATAATTAATTTTAATAATTTTAAGATTTAATTTTAAAAGTTAATTTTAATAATTATAAGTTAATTTTAATAATTTTAATGATAATTAACTTTATAATTTATAGGCTAATGCCGGAATATTCATATGTATTCGAAACTCCATACGACAATACTGATGCTAATTCTTGGCCATGTACCATTGACCGCCCTAAAGATAAAAGACTTCCATTATATATGATGAATCATTTCCTATATTCTGTAATATCTGGTATTGAAATTCCTGCTCGAAGTATCGTGAATGTAACAAATAGTGTTAGTCTTTCAAATCAAGCACAAAATTGTACTAATATCTTTAGACAATTTCCAAATTTTATTGCTGTGGATTTTTATGATCAAGGTACAAAGACTCAAAATGTTTTTAGTGTTGTTGCTAATTATAATGGTGTACCATATGTTCCACAAACTTATGGTAACGGTTCCTTACTTTCAACTACAAATTCTGCTAATATTATTATAAAAAATAGTTTATTTAATGCTCTTATTTCTTTATTACTCGTTTTTACTTTTATTGTTGTTGAATTGTAATTATAATATTAGAGTTTATTATATCCTTTCACATTTGTGACTTTATTTAAATTAATTTCTAGAATTGTTTTATATAAAAAAAAAAAACAGTTATTAATTAATTGTATTTGTAATTTATAAAATTAGTGTATTTCGGAATTTAATGAAAAAAAGTGTTTAAAAAAAAAACAAACTTATTAGTTATGAACTTAATAGTTGTCAAAATAGGTTAAAATGTAATTGAAAGTAAAAATAATTACATAAATAAGAGTTGACTAAAATGAACTTGTAAATAATTTAATCCAAAAAAATACGTCACTTAGTTCAATCGAAATTGGATGTTCACTTATTCTGAAATTCCCCCATTTAGATTAATGAAAAAATTGTGTTTCGAAAATAAGTAGGATTTAAAAATCAAACTTGTTATTAGAGTTGAAGTAAGAGAAATTGAAAAGAACTTCCATTTCACGAATAAATGTTTTTTTTTTTTTTTTTTTTTTTTTTTTTAATTCTACAATAATTTTTATCCAATTTATTTTGAACTATTTCTAGATCTATTACTGTTCTCGGTGTGTTTTATCGGCGGGTGGATTCATAGGTAAATACATTTGCGTTTGTTCAAACCTTATAACCTGTATAGTTTAACAAATTAGAAACATTAATATATTTCTTCTTTGATAATAATAGGTGTTCTAATGTTTATTTGCTCATTTTTATATGGAAAATTTCCATTAAATCCATGGGGAGTAATGCATAAGATCTTTATTCTTAAAAAACTTGATATTAAACGTTATAATATTAATGTTTGTGTAAAAGGTGAATGCAAATGTATTGAAGAAGGATTCAATAAGTTTGAAAAAAATTTTATTACAACTATTTGGCTTTACCGAAATAATTTAATATAATCTCGCATATTACATAAATATCAATTTATATATTTATATGTTTATATCTCACACATTACATAAAATACCTATGATTTTTTTTTCAGTAAAAAACGATAAGTTATTATAAGGCTTCTTTATTTTAATAATTTTAATAATGTACAAAAGATTTAATTAATATATATAATATCGATATGGAAATATAAAAAATTAAGTGAGTTCGTAGTTTTATTATTAGTTAGGAGATAGGCACTGTGATGTATCGTATTGAGCTATTTGAATTATTACCAAACTTTTTGTCATTTTTTTTATAATTATTACATTCCTATTCTGCAATTATGCGTGTCTTTAATTAACTATTACTTAATTAATATGTATTATCTTTTTTTATTTCTTTTATTTCTTTATGATTACATTACTATATTCTTTTATTTATTTCCCATCCGATATTGAGACTTGTATATAATGAATCGCTCTCGTATAATGAATAACAATAATATTAACAATAATTTCTTAATAAAAACATTCTAGTTAAATAAAGTCATTCGTTATAATCGTTTTCACAACATCCCGTTCTTTGAGTAGAACCTACTCAACTTTTAATGTCTACGATACTGGCTAAATTGGCCTAGTCTCATTACAGTAATGTTCTCCCATATCGTAGCAGGACCCTATGCAAATCACTTTTTGATATCTCGACAACTAACTAAATTAAAATAATTTTATTTTTTTATCAAATTAGGTTAGATCAATGACATGAAAATTTTTTGTGGTTTATTATTTTTGATTGTTAATCACGTGATCACGTTACGCAGAACTGCCCGGTTACGCTGAGCAGCTGGAGATTATAAATAGTCTATCAATCTCATATTAAAGCAGATTAAAATTCTTGAAATCACGAAAAATTTTTAAAGTCTTTGATTTCACCTAAAAAAGTGATCTTCAGAGGTCGCAAACCGCTATAAATAACGGTATGAATAATTGAATATAAGATCATTATGTGTTAAAACTTTAAATTTTTTTTGAAATTACGTAAAATTATTTAATGTTATAATCATAATTCCCTTACTTGCAGAGTTTATCTAACTGAGACCTTATTTGTATGGAAAAATCCAAAAGAATATATTTTGCATAGATAAAAGTATACATTTCGGATAAAAATTAAAGGTTTATCAAGAATGATCATTATTGCGAGATCAGATAACTTTATTGCAAATCACATGTATTCTTGTTATTTAATCCTTTTGGAGTTAGTCATTTGGTTTTTTTTTGGATTTGCAGGTTTTTACGAGAGGTATTATAATTACATGCATTTATTAGCGTTAGGTATTTTATAATTAGTAACCCCTGTTGGTAGGCATTTGGCTTGTTAGTGCTGGTAATTAAGAAGTATTATGATAACACATGTCTGTTAGGAGACTATTACCTTGTATATCGGTAAACTAGTACCAGGCAAGCGTGAGTTAGTCTTAAGGAAGAGAGTTTTATACATATTGATAAGGCGATGGGAAAATAGGTTTTTTAAGAAATTTTTATTATGAGTAGGAAGATTATCTTTCGTTTTGCTATCGCTCGCCTTGGGTTAAGGCTGGCTCTTTCATCTTTCTGTACCTAAATTACAAACAATTGTAAAATGCAATTAACTCAAAATTAATATACGTTAACAATAATTAGCAAATAATTGATAATAAACCTATAAAAAAATAAAATAAAATAAAAAGAAACATGCAATAAAAACATGTCAGTTATTAGTTGACCTTGAGCGAACTGAAGGATTTATGTGTGACCTGTGGTATTTCTGCTAGAGGTAACAAGGTGAGAGGCTGCATAATTATTTTGAAAAAAGAGAAAAATAGTAGATACTGGAGTAGAAAAGAATAACGAATAGTGGGATATTATCATTGGAGGCGCACAGGATAGAGTAGGTGAGGCTAAAGAAGTGATTTGGGATGACGAGAGGGTTGTTGATTGGACAGGTGATGATTGAGATACAAACTTTCAAGAGGCAAATAAAAGAATTAGGAATGAATTTAGCCGCTTGCGTTCAAATAAGATAGAAGTTGGAACCAATTCCGGTCGACATGTTTATGGCGGCTTTAAGAAGACTTCATTCTTAATTACTCTGAATGCGAAGTTTAATTTTCAAAGAATTTATTTATACTTCTTTATAGTTACATTATTTAATTGATTTAATATAAAATTAGAGTTGCACTCATGGTGACTTCGTCACCAAGGTTTAAACTAGAACACAAGTTCTAGTATAATCTGAATAATCGGAATATCTTTTGCCGATTTTTTAAACAATTTGTGAACAAAAATAAATATTTTAAAAATTATAATCAAAAATAAAAAAAAAAAATCAACAGTGTATAGCATAGCGGAAGTTTGCTTTGATTGGCTGATATTAGGATAAATATGATTGGTGACGATCTTTTATTTATATAGTCAATTGTAATTTTTAAGGTACTTTTAATAGTAAAAATCGTCGTGTCATATGAAACTTTTTTTTTTGTAATACTGTCAGAGGCAAAATCGGTATAACAGAAAAAGAAGGAACCGTGCCTCAAAATAATTCGCGAAGCCCAAGAACCGATCCAAAGACCCACATGCCAAATGGGACCCGAATCGCATGTGAAGATCCCGCAGGACCAATGATCGACAAATTAATGG